TAACCAGCTGATAATTATTAAACATTTTTTTAGAAAAACTTTATATTTTATCTGTTATTTTCACTATTGTATCTCTGTACAAGTTTGGTCAATTTGACTGACCTCGTAAACACCATAAAAAATTAGGAAATAAATATAAATTACTCTTCTTTCATTCTAGAATGAACACAAATTATAACACAAAAACATAAATGTTTAGACTAATGCATAGCATAATTTAATGTAAATTATTCATTATAATATAGATATATTCCTAATGCAGAGCATAATTCAATGTAAATTATTCATAATAGATACATATATTACTAATGTAGAGCATAATTTATAGTAAATTATTCATAATAGATACATATATTACTAATGTAGAGCATAATTTAATGTAAATTATTCATAATAGATATATATATATATATACATATATTACTAACGCAAAGCATAATTTAATGTAAATTATTTATAATATAGATATATATATATATATATATATTACTAACGCAAAGCATAATTTAATGTAAATTATTCATTATAAATATACATATTACTAATGCAGAGCACAATTTCTATATCCTCCAATTCTATTTGTTTATGGAGTCACAAACTAGAAAATGATACCCACTTGCCATGCCCACCTACCATATCCTCTCTTTTACAAATTCCCAATAGTTCTCTGACATTTTATACTATATTATTTATAATCCACAGAAAGCCAAGGTTTTAATCTATCAAATGACATAATATATTATGTTGTTTATTGTACAGAGTATTATCTATTTCACCTTCAGTTTTAAAGTTTCTTTCGCTGCATTTAAACAAACAAACTTACCTAAATTTTGAAAGGCTCTTATGTCATAGTTAAAAAGCCTAGACAAATTACAATAGTTATAGGACATTGTTTGCTTTGTGTATGTTATTATCTTATGTCCTTAGTGCATTATTTAAGTAAATAAAAATTATTCAGTGTACTAGTAACACTAATATAAAAAAGTAGGCTTAAATATGATCAACAACCAAGACGTCCCAGGTGAGTGATATATTTGGTTTTTCATGTTTTTCTTTACTTGTTATAAAAATTAGAAACTTATTAGTTTAGATAAAATTAGATTAGGTAAAATAATGAAAATGATAAAAAGTCTTCCGATGGTATACTTTCGGCAGCTCGTACATTACGTTATTTAACATGATAACATAAGATACCCTTTCGCTGGGAGATTTACAACTTGTGCAGCAAGATTATTAGTTAGACACAGGTCATTGAACAATTAAACAACAAAATTAAGTATAAGCAGATGTACATTACGTTATTCAACATGATAACATAAGATACCCTTTCGCTGGCAGATTTACAACTTGTGCAGCAAGATTATTAGTTAGACACAGGTCATTGTACAATTAAACAACAAAATTAAGTATAAGCAGATGTATACTGTTACGAGCTTTAAACTATTTAGGATAAACAATTGTAGTTTCATGATGAAACAAAGTTGAATGGAAGGCAACTGCCTGTTGTAGAAATACTAGAGTAGAAGACGACATTTCAAAAGTCTTCCGCCTTCAGACAGAAGACTTGAAACGTCATCCTCTACACTAGTGTTTTTACAACAGACAGTTGCCGTCCATTCAACTAAGTTTCATCATGAATACTCTGCATAAACAAAGAATTGTTGTTTCATGTTACAATTTGTCATCACTTTAGAAATGCATAAGAGTAATTTAGATTCAAATTTATTTCATATTTATTTATGGTGGTTACAAGGTTAGTCATAGTTAGTTTAGGAATTTTTGGAGATTATGCAAATGAAATTTGACATTTTTTAATTTGAAAATCAGTTTGCACTCAAGAGCAGTCAACATTTTAACTCCTTAAATTTACCAATAAATTTTGGTAAATATATTTTATTAAAAAAAAATTGAATTTTCTTATGTGTAAAAGACATGTTTACTGAAAGCTTGCCATATTTTGTGAAAGTACACAAAATATATTAAAAGTTATATTGTGGAAACTGATAGTTACTTCAGGGTTAAAGGTCAGTCACATCAACCAAAACAGTTAAGAGGGCAATGTTAATTTCATTACTACTGAACTCTCATACTAGTTCACTTGTGGATTAGCTTGTGGTCAGAAGAAACCAGCATCAACTTCATAGCCCGCTAGTTAATTTCACCTTCTTTATGTCATCATGAGGTTTCCTTGTAGGGAAGGTTTCTAAAAGTTTCTACCAAAAATTGTTTACTTTTTAAATATTGTCTTTTGAATATGTTTTATTGTAATATGATGTTAAGTAGCCTAGAAGATAGTCTGTATATAATATGACTTTTTTCTTTAATTTTTAGAGTATGTTTACTATTTAGTAATTAATAATGGAGCCATATGTTTGAATTGGTTTAGTTCTTGAAATATGGGCAGTTAAGAATATACTATACAACTTTTAAATCTACTCTGTAATGCCTTGGACTTTATAGTGCATTTACAACAGGGCTACTGTCAACCAAGAAGAAATTCCATGACTTTTCACGGACTCTAGAACCATTTGGATCTTATTATCTGATTCACAAGTATTCACTTAACTCTACTAAGTAAATGGAAGTATTCCAACAACACTATAATTAAAAACAAGACAGTATGTACACATTCATCATAACCTATCCTAACATGAAATTTGTCATATTGGTTTCCAGTAAACTCTTGTGTATTACAAAAAGTAGTTCCACACAATTTCATTAATATATGCTCAGCTAGCCTGTTAACATAATGAGAATTGAATAGGTTTTACAAGTATGATATATATATATATATATATAACTAAATTTGCTACATAATATAAACTTTATTTTCTGTTATAGCTGACAAAATTCTGCTATTTATGATTCTA